TTATTTTTCCTTATCTTTTTCTATTAGTCGTTTATTGTCACTCTAAGCTGAATATAAATATTATTTTTCTCGTCGTTATTTAATCTTTTTTTTTCTGTACAAGGAACGAAAGGGTGTGGGTGTTGATGTGGCTATAGATAAAAACAAGACCCACCCTCACCCTCACACCCGCACCCCACCCTATCAGATATTGCAAGGTAGTATCTTGTGCTACAAGATATTAAGAACCACTTACCCTAAATAAAATGATGTACTCTATAAATGTGTTTCTACGTATGTCAATATCAATGATTTTGCTCTCATCCTCAGTAAGAGAAATATTCAATATTTATATTTCAGTTTTCACTCTCAAGAACATCTTTGTTGATTTAAGTGCACAAATCAAAAAAAAAACATCTAAAAAATAATTATTCTTCTTTGAATTTCTCAATTTTTCTAATAAAGCTTTTTTATTTGAGAAGAAAGAGTTATTTTATTTCTTTTAATCTCATAATCAAATGAATAAATTTATGACTTAAAATAAATGGATACATAGAATTCCTCTCACGATAATTTGTACTATAGAAATTATTCATCTTGTTTTGGCATATTTTGTTTTCTTAGAATTATTTTACAAACAAATGAATCGAACAAAAAAGATATAAACAAATATCAAATATCATCTTTCAGATTATTTTATTGAAACGAAAACAATAATATTTAACTTCTAAAGAGTCATTTCTATCCAACATGAATGACATATTATTTATTTTATTAGATCTATAATAGACCGCATTGATGTTCATCAGTATATGAAATAACAAGAAAGAGAGAGAGAGAAAGGTGATACCATTCTTTTGCGTCGATTTATCGTCAGTTTCGATTATGGAAAAAATTTGTCATTGTTTTCATTGACGAAATCGGTCAAATTGAATAAGTCTATATAAACGAAAAAAAAACACACAGGTGAAGTTAAACATGGAACGTTTATCGGTGAAGTTAAATGATTTATCTGATGAGATACTTCTTCTTATTTTTAAAAAATTGGACAATACTGAAGTGCTCTACTCATTCATAGGTGTTAATAAACGATTTAATAAACTTGTACATGATTCAATTTTTACGAATCATTTAACAATGACAAGATGTTCTTCTAATGGTTCATTTGATCGATTAGATAATCAAATACTTGATCGATTTTGTTCACAAATTTTACCCTCGGTTCATCATAAAATCAAATGGTTGGATATCGAATCCTCGTCTATGGAAGATGTTCTTCTTTGTACAAGTTATCCCAATTTATGTGGACTTGGTTTATACAATATCGAGAAGGACATTGCATTACGTATCTTTACTGGTGAGAGATTTTTCTTTCAATCATTAATATTTCAAAAATATAGATAAATCAATAGAATTATTTGTTTGTAAAAAGATTCTTCATACAATTGTATCATAGGACATTTTTTTTTCTATATAAATAGTAAAAAATAAAAATCTCATTGACAATCAATGTGTACAGATAGAGAAAACTAATATTTACTTTAGAACAACAGAGAAAGACTAAAATAGGTGTGACAATTTGATCCATATATTTAAATTATTTCATCATTGATTTTATATTTATATTTAGACGAAACTCCTTTAATCCGCATATTTCAGGATAAAATTTCATCATTAATTATTGATCTTGTTCAAAATAAAAATATAAATATGGAAGACAATAGCAATGCAAATATATTTGTCTACATTTTAACTTTATTCTCCAAGTTAAAGTATTTCCATTATAGGTCAACTTTTTGGTGTCAACCATTATTTCAAATATCTCCAACTATTTCCTCTTCAATTCTGTTAGAATTGCATGTCAAATTGGGGAATTTTACTGATTGTCTTTATTTACTTGATGGTCGTTTCGATTCACTTCAAAAACTTTTTGTTGATATTCATCGAATACTATCTTCACAGATAATAATTGATAACAAAGTAAATTGTACAATTTAATATCTAATATATTCAAATAAATTGTTTTATTTTTTTGTTAGAAACAATTACCCAATCTAAAACTCTTTTCGCTCTATTCTGAACTAGATACAGATAAGTATAATGAATTGATTATGCCACTTCTACATCGAATGATCAACCTAGAAGAACTCGATTTACATCTTGTTGTGTATCGTGAGAAAAGATTTATTGATGGCTATGATTTGAAATACAATATTATTAATAATTTATTACGATTAAATAAATTTGTATTTAACATACGATCACGTCTGCCTCTAAACGATCAAGTTTATTTATCATCAAATGAAGATTGTCAACTTTCATTCAATGATTTTAAAAATAATAAAATTATTTCATGTATTGATTATTTCCCAGATCGTAAAGAAGGTCAATGTCATATTTATTCATATCCATATCAAGCAAAATATTATGAATATATTACAAATAATTTCCCAGATGGATTATTTAAATATGTTCGTGAAGTTTCATTATATGACGAACATCCTTTTGAACATGAATTCTTTGTGAAAATTGCTAAATCTTTTCCATTCATGGAACAATTAACTGTAAACAATGAAAAACCACAGAAGAACAAATTTGATGAACAATCAAAAGATGATAATCGACATTTATCAGTTATTCAATATCCTTATCTTAGTGTAGTTGATTTGTTTCATGCTCATGATGATTATGTGGAGCAATTTCTATTGGATATCAAAACGTGTTTAACAACAAAGCTCGACCTTCAAGTCTACTTTTCAACTTTGGATAGAGTAACAAACAATTTTACAAGAGATGCAACACGAATCAATTGTGGTAAATTACTTGATATACATGTACCTCGTAAAATATTGATTTCAAACCAGCTGAAAGACTATTTTTCTGATACGAAAATTTATTGTTTAAATCTGTGAATAAAACTGATTAGACATAGGTGGATTAACGTGAAATAAAAGATGTGTAAAATAAAACAAAAAAGAAACAACTCGTTCTATATGTTATTTGTGGGAAAAAGAACTTTGATGCATCTCTAAATGATTTTATTTGAAAAATATTTATTTAAAAATATGAAAAATAAAAATCTATAACATTTTGATAATTTTAAATCAGAGATGTCGAATGGATTGGGTTGGAGCATCCATGGATTGATCCTGACTCAAGCTAGCACAGTGGGCAGTAAGCAAAGGGCATGAGCAACAAAAATTTTCAATATTTTTGATAAAACGTTTTTGAGCATGAAGTTTTTAATACGGCTTCTCCACGTAACGTGACATTTCACACATTAAGTATTTCAGAATTCTAAATAAACGATTATACCACGTAGAGCAAACTTGAAAGTATAAGAAAATGTATTTTGTTATTTGAAAAATTATTTTTGTGCGTCTTTAAAAACGTATATACCCCTGGAAAGCAAAAGTTAGCCACTTTATTTTGGGTATAT